CTCTCATTTCTCGCCTACCTAGCACATATCAACATTTTGAGGCGACCTTGCATAAATTAAGAATAATTGTCACTTAGTAATATAATGGAGTGCAACATGCTAATGAAGAGTTCCCAAATTAAGCCATTCTTGCTCCTCCTTTAGAAATACAATAAATAAAAAGGCTATTTTTAACAAGTAAGAGATTTTTTAATTTTATCCCATAGTTGTATCAAAAATTGTTTTTAATTCCTATTTTATTCTTAGTGACCTTCTACAAAATAAGTAATCTACAAAGACCATATGGAGAATAAGATATAAAAAGTCGCAAATAAAAGTCAAAACATTTGCCTACTCGGTAGTTTGGTTGAAGTACGTTGATGAGTGGTCGTGTCTGGCCAGTGGCCGCTGGAATATCAGATAACTCGAGGTAAGCCAACAGTGTAGCAATACTTTCTTCTTTGACATCCAGCTCCTCAGCCAGCTGAGCAGGATTCACGGCAATCACATGACCGGGACAAACAAAACTGGGATTTGCACTGGTGGCAGAAGCAGTGCGTGAGGCTGACGTTTTGGATGGCTGTCCGAATAAATGAATGCCTTCATTCTGATCAGATTTAAGTGTAAGGGAATCGTGGGTGTATTGACTGAAGACGGTATAGTTGATTAAAATAGAAACTCAGTGGGTATGTTATATGGGCGTATGATTAATTGCCAGACATAGATAGCAAGCCTTATAATAAATTTAACGAGATAAGACAAAGATGATGTTGCCATTTGTTTGATCACAGTTGTATAGTGTCGCTTTGACCTCATTGTCGCAACTTAATCGGAGCAACAGAAAGACTTGTGCAACGTAACTAGTTCTACGTATTCTGCCATAATATTTATGTTGATTTCCAGAATCGAACAGTTGCCTTTGAGGTCCCTAGACATTTAGTCGGCATCGTCAACGAAAGGCATCATACTTAGCGCCGAATAACAAATAATCAGTGACAAAAGAAGGCAATCCCCTCAAGCTATTTTCTGTTTAACCTTTGGGGCATCTCTCCTCGCCCCTTTTTTGCTCTACCTTCTAGTGCTGCACCTCTTTTACTCAACCCAACTTCATATGGCCCAACTAAATATTTACACAATTCTGTGTTCTCATTTTCTCCAATGTCGCCTAAGAGTTTGTCGCTACAAGTAGGTTTAGCGAAGCGTAACGAGAACAGATGCAATGGATAGATAAATGGGTCATATGAAGTGGAATTGAAAGAAAGGGATGCAACATTAGAAGTTAATTGAATATATGAAGACAAAGATGTTGTAGCCTCTGGTGTGGTCGCAGTCTCCTTTCGATTTATATAAGTGGGTTGACCTCGTTGTCGCAACTTGGTCTTGT